GCACAGTAAGAAATTACCAAGTTGGGTTCAGTATCCATTGATTCTCATAGAATCGTTTTCTTAAACTGAATAATACCGGGTGACTTTTTTAACGCCCTACACTAGTTTACTTTGACATTTTGTAGTTATTGTTTTAGAAAACATTTTCGTATATTAATATAGACAATATTCATAATTTTAACAAAGAAAATGTTTGTTGTTAAACGGTATTAGCTATTAAATCCACTGCAATTACTTTGAACAATCCTAAATCTCAAACGGCTTTCCCTGTTTCTAGTAACAACGTTGTTGATAGATATTGGCCAGGTAATGTGTTTTTTGTGTAAAATATACAGCTTAACGTTTTCTAAAATTATTAGTCGGACCATTTAATATAAAGAAACACCGTTAAGTAAACCTAAATTAAGATCATCTTGTAAATATTTTCATTATTTTCATAAATGATTTATTACCAAATAACAAATATGTACATTGATTGAAAACTATTTCTAATCTACTATTTTTTTTTATTTCAGATACAATTAACATGTAACAGTTCTAATTAAAGTGTTTTTTTTAAACATTTTCAAGTAAAATTGTCGCGACGAGAGGGTTATGACAAACCTTTATAATGAAATTAAAAAAAAAAAAAATACAAATTACAAAGAAAAATAAATATGAACATTATGTTAACACACTCCTATTACAGCTAAAGCGAGTGTGATTAAATAAATACAATAAAAAAGGTTTTTCGTTGACATACAAAACAACAACGGTCGAGTGGCCATAATTAATGATATTCATTTTTAAATAAGGAATTTTCTACATTACAATGAAATGTTGAATTTAATATTATTTATAATCGATGGCTGAACCTAAATGTTATCTATGAGTTAAGTAAATGAAAAAAAATAGTTTTTAACTGATTCAGGCACTTGCGCTTGGACCCCGTTTGGAGCAGAGGACAATTATTTGTGAGACATTTGTTTGTCGCCTTTTTTGTAGATGATCGATTGGGAAAACACGGAAGCTCAAATAAAAATTGTATATGAAAAAAAAAAACAATTTGACTCGGCTCAGGAACTGATCGAAAACATGGCAAAATTACATAGTTTGCTTACAAATTTAGTCAAATTTATAATGCTGTTTAGCTTATGGAAACACTCGGCGTTAATTAATCTGTCTTTGCCTCGAATTGACAACGGAAAACAACCATAAACACTATGGCATACATGGTTTTGGACAAGTCGATAGCTGAATCCGTTAAAGGAATAATTATCGTTGACTAATACATAGAAGACGGTTTAAGATTGGCGTTTCTCAAAAGTCTGATTGAAATGCTAGCAAATTCATTGGTGCTATCGAAGTACGCAGATGAGAAGCTAGTAAGGTGTCCAGCTTCGTCTTCACATTGCGCAGATTGAATGGACATTTTTAAGTCGAGTAGTATAAAATCATTGTACCTGATTGTTGTTACAAAATGAAGTATGCTGTGTTTGATAGCTTATCGTTAAGCGTCCTCATTACTTGAAGATGTGTGATTCGGTCTTTTGTTGATTTTACAGGAGAATTTTTGAGTATTACAAGTTTTTTTCATCTCTGATGCGAACTTCCGTGATAATACTTGTTTATGTTAGCAGCGTTTGACTATGAACAGTGTTTTAAATTGATTTTTAACAGCACCTTGTTTTTTATCAAAATGATTTTGTACCCACTTTACCATAGTGTAAGTGGTTGTTCTTCGTTGTCAACTCGAGGCAAAGATAAGTTGATTAACGTTAAGTGTTTCCAAAAGTCAAACAGCATTACAACATTTTTACTAAATTTGTAAACAACCTGTGCAATTTTGTCACGTTTTCTATCGGCTCCCAAACCGAGTCAAATTGTTTTTCTTCATATACAATTATTATTCGAGTGGACGTATTATCCCATTCAGTCATCACGGTGAATTCGACAAATAAAATATGTCTCTTCAAGTCACTTCTGCTCCAAATCCGCCTTAAGTGCAAGTGTCAGCCAGAGAAGTAAAGATGACAAGTAGTGTCGAGATATGCTTGCTGTTGAAACATTCCTCTTGAAACCTTAAACGAGTTCTAAGTAATCGGACTCACCAAAATGGGTCGTTTGGCGTTTGGACATTTTTCTTGTTAAGTGCAATATGTGTAAACCGATCATGAATTGTCTGTTGGTCGTTTGAACTATATCTTCCCGTCTGGACGATAATTAACTGTTTTCCATAGTTTTGAAATATTTTACAAACACACAAACATGAGCCATATCGAAGACCCACGAGGTCGGTTTTCATATGTGTTACATATTAACATATTCGACCTGAAGACGACGATTGTGTATAAACGAGTCAAGAGAAACGCTCGAGTCAATAATTTTATAGAATAGGATATTTGGTGATACGTGTTATTTTACAGTTGGCTTAAAGTAAATTGTTATTTTAATTTGTGGTAAGCGAAAAAAGTATAAAGTAACACACACGCTGTTATTACGGATAGAAATGAAAAAAAAAACCGCTTGAGTCAATAGTTTTTAATAATGTATTATATAGATTATACTTGGTGTTACAGTTGGCTTAACCTAAACTGTTGTATACGTTTATTGCAAGCGTAGGGTAAATATTTGTTAAGTATCACACGTTCTTAGTAAAGTTGGAAATGTATGAAAACATTTATTATTTTTATAAAGGTTATTTGAATTTTGGATTAATTTTATGTGGAGCTTAGGAGGCATTGTTTTTATAATAATGTATTTTTACTTTTTGTTATCATTTTAATTTCAAACTCGTTACTTAAGGGTTATTTCATTATTTATATATGATTGATTATAAAATATAACGGGTGAAATATAAAATGACGAATGTTTTTATATTATTCATACACGGTTGTTTGAAAAGTGTTAAACGATTTTTCAAAACGTGAATAACACCAGAAGTCAAATGATTTACTTTACTTTAAACGACCGTTAATTTGATGATATCTTAATTAAATTGATATTTAAGATTATAATACAATATTATGATACGTTGAAATCATTATTATAAACGTTTTTTTTCAACTTTATAAAAATAATTGTGTGTTGGGTTTTTCGGTTTATTTGTTAACTATTTACAGTAGTTTAATTTTACAAGTTTAAAAAAATATAATAATATTATGCTAAGTTAAAGTTTTTGAAAATTAAATGTGTTGTATTGTTAACAACCAACGCCTTAAACAAGATCAATGTGAATTTGTCTAACATAACATATTTTGTTTACAATAAATTGCGTTATTATTATTTTACATGCACTTTTTCTGTGTAAACGCATTTATGTTCTGTTCCATTAAATATCCAAATTAATAAACCGACGTTGTATATACGAATGTGCTGTAACACATTATGTGAATTATAAATTTATTAATAACACATATTATCCGGATGTGTTCAGGTGTTCGTTTCCGGGCTGACATTGCACAGTCTTATCGTGGAATTCACTTTGGTCGCATCTGCTAAACGTCATGTTCTCACGAAATAGACTTAACGGTTGGTCTTACAATAATATTCAGCCCGAAATCGAACCTCAGTCGTTGAACCGTACATTTTCTTAACTCACACCAACATTAACCACAAGTGCATTGTATTGTCTAACATATGTATATAGAATTATTTTTTTATGGCAACCGTAAACGGACAAGGGTCACGTCGCAGTTAAGTAGTTAACCATTGTATGGATGCACGTGGCGTTGTATTTAGAGTGCATATTCTAGAATATTCTCGCTAGAGGTGTTTCATTATAGTTAATTGGTGTAAACCGGTATTGACAAAACCCAATCACCACATAGTTATTATTTATAGCAGGCAAATCACGCAGCATGTTGAAATGTCGATACAATAATGTAAAACTAATTATAATCATTATTCATTACATAAATCAATATTATTAAAATGGTAAGCCTACAGAGCAAATGTCAAATGAGATTTAAAAAAATTGAACAGTTGTTTTATATTTTCAGTAATTAATTTCCGATTTAAACATTTTAATTTGTTTTAATTAAATACTTGGAAAATTTTTAGCTCTATAATTGTTAATAACGGCATCACTTTACAAAGGTAATACATTAATGTCTCTTGAACAAAAACTATTGGATTTTTAATAATCGTTTAGTGATCATAATGACATTTTTTAAGTAAATATTTTATTTTTCATTTAGATATAGTATTTAGATATTTTAATTTTAAGTATAATTTGGCCCAGTTTGAAATAAAAATAAAAAATATTTTCCAGCTTTAGCAGCGAGTATTTTTATTTTTTACTGATAAAATACTTAACGAGTAAGATGCATTTTTAATTTTGTTTTGTACTGTAATTAGAACACCTTAATATTAAAACCTTTATAATGAGATAAAAAAAAAAAATACCAGTAAAAATTACAAAGAAAAACAAATATGAACTTTATGTCAGCACACTTGTACTACTGCTAAACCGTGTAATTAATTAAATACAATAAAAAAGGTAAGTTTTTTCGTTGACATACACAACAACCGCGCGAGTAGGTTTTTATTAATTAAACAATTTAACGGTCGAGGTAATTAATTTGAATTATCATAATTTAAGCTCGTCACCTAAGTATTACCCTGGTCTAATTTATGTGTACACCTACTTTTGGTTGAAAAAGGGTCATTCTCGTATATTTTAATAACTATGTGAACTTTAGTTTTTATCTTTCTATAATTATTTTAACACACGGTGTTGTAAGTTCACTGGCAATAAGTGTACATTTTTCAATAATAAAAGCTGTCGTGTGACTTTTGTAGAAAAGGCAATGCAGCTGTGCGCCAAAGTTTGTTGCCTATTAATTTTTAAACTCTAGAAACAGTTTTTTTGGAGTCATCCGGGAAAAGGTTCGTTGATTTACATAGTACGCAGAACAATGGTATAGTTTACTGCGTTTAGCAGGCTAATAATGTGGGGGGAAAAATAATGCGACCCATTAAAACCGGCATACGGTTGTTAAATACATTTTTCGTGTTCAGGCAGAAGGCGTTGGACGTTAAATGTGTTTTTTTTTATCGTACAACACAAACACGGTTTGGCTCTATATGTTCACAATGCGGCCCACGGTTAACACAGTTTTGACATCAGAAGTAAGTAAGACCCATGACTTTGACTCCACTGCGTAGTAGGTATTTTTATTACTTTTATATATTTTACATGCCAATGTCAGCCACAGAGCAGCATAATATAACACAAGAAACGTATATTATTATTGCAAAAAATCAACAGTCAAACGCATTAATGTTACTTGTTGTTGGTATAGTGTCGTTCACTATGTTAAGAGTTCAAAATCGATTGCGGTATAAACCAAATGAAAAATGCTTGTTGAGAAAAGCAGTTGACGAATGAATAAATAAAAAAAAACCCTAATAATGATGCTGCAGGATTATTCGGATTCAAAATGCAAAATAATTATTGTGTTAAATAAACGTTACAATCGTCGGTGTAAACAGTTTGAAACAGCGGTTTTATTGTTTGACTTGGATTAAGAGAAAAGAAAAAGCGTACCACTTAGATCTCAGTAAGATCAAAATCTATCTTATTGTTCATCTATTTTCTTCACTCTATTTGATTTTCTATTCGTTTACTCGATTTTTTTAGTCGCTCACACAATCTCAACCTGTTTACTCGATTTATTCACTTATTTACTCAATTTACTCGATTTGAAAAACTATATTAGCTTATACTTGTTTTACCATATTTACTCGAAATGATTACTCGTTTACACGATTTGTACATCTAATATATATTTATTTAATCGTTTTAATTACTAGTTTACTCTATTTATTTACTCATTTACTAGATTTTTTAAACTAAATTTCGTTACTTATTTACTCGTCATGCTAAATCGTTCGCTTGATTTTTTTACTCATTGACTCAATTTATTTTCGCATTGAATCGACTTGGTTACTCTTTTTATTTACTAGTTTACTCTATTTACTAATTTATTTGAAATATTTGATTTATTTATTTATTTTATTACTCGATTTGAAAATAGATTTGTTTACTCATTTATTCCAATTTTTTACGAGTAAAGTTAAGATTATAGAAGTGATTTAACTTACGTTTGTACAAAATTAGTTGGGGTAAGTATTTATTTTGAGTTCGAATGAAAATCATCATATTACTTTTAGCTTAGTAACAATGTTTTAATTTTAACACAAAATTCCGTTTACCCTATTAAAAATCAATTAGTAATTATTGACCCTGGAGATTTACGATTCTTTAATTCTAACAATACTCTTAACAGTATTCTAGGAGTTCCGCCGTTCGAACACTAAATTCTATAAAACAAAAGAAAATTGATTAATGTTAAACGATTTTGAACCGGTAGTAAACAGTATTTTAATATTTGTAATGTGTTATTCGTTTCACACAAACGTAGTGAATATGCTTCTTTTTGGTCGGATACGAATTATTATAATATTTTTCATTGGGAAAATGGAAATCCATGTTTCGGTTGTTGTTTTGAATACCGTATGATTCCTATTTGTATTTTAGATGCGCAGTTTTACAATTGTCTGCGGTAAACGAGTGCCGGGCAACTGGAAATATAAGTTTTTCGATTAAAACACTATGTGACTTGCAGAGAGACTTGAAGATTTTACTGTACGGCGGGCGTGGTGTATTTCAATTTCAGCACCATTCCGGACGTGTCTGGCATACCGAAACACTCCTTGGCGACCATCGTAAACGTCTTGGGCCGTTTGGAACAGAAGATCGTTTTCAAATGGACCAGCAAGAATTTCCGGATAACTTCTACGCCGGCAGTTACCAACAGTTATCTTGGTTACCGCAAAGGGACATAGTAGAAGTAATTGTTGAAATAAATAAAAAAGTATCAGGTTTTGAACATCCCAATTGCAAGGTTCTTATTACTAACGGTGGAGTGCACGGGATAATGGAATCCATAGACGCCGCAGGAGTGCCGTTAATTGGCTTTCCCATTTTCGGCGATCAATTTATAATATTAAAGGCAATGCAGGCCTTTGGGATCATCATTAACATTTTCAGGCTGACCGAGAAAAGTTGGAAAACGAAATCAAACGTGTAGAACTGTTGTCGGTCGACCAATTTATCCGATTTCAAAAACACCCTAGTAATAAATATATAACGTGCAGTTTATGCATTAAACATACAGAGCAGTGGGCACCGGTGACCTCGTAACCAAAATGGACAAATCACAAGAGGAAATAAAAATAAACAAACTTGTCAAAGACTCATAAAAAGTCATCTTGGTCGGTATTTTTGCGTTAAGTGATTTATAGTAGAGCGGCTATTTATATTTTGGAATTTTAAAAACAATTTTTTAATATATACTATTTGGAGCTCTAAAGTTAATATTGACGTTAAAAACATTATATTCTTAGCATAAAAAAAAACCATCATATTATTAGTTATGCTCCCCCGAGTAAGTGTTTAAACTTAGCACAAGTACTCCTGCATTGTATTGCACTAGCAAAGTTAAAAAGTTTTCACAAGAAATGCAAATAGGTTTTAACAAGCTTGCCAAGAAGAAGTCTACTTTTAGTTGTCCAAGAAACAGTTAAATCGTACACGAGTTCAAAAACTACTTTGAAATTCAGCGGAATTGCTCAGTTAATATTGACCATGCAAATTGTTTGTTTTGCACATAAAAGTTTGTTTTTAACGTTGTCACGTGATATTTGATTGCGACACAGCAAAAATATAACATTAGTTCAAAAAGGGGAAGGGTAAGAAGACGCCAGCATGAAATTATACATTTTGTTTCCTCTCCGAAGGGATAAGTTTTGAGGTGACCGAAAACTGGGTAAAAAAAAATGATTATTGCCTGAAAACATTTTATGAATCATGATCGCTCCACTTTGAGAAAAAAAAAAATATCAATTTCATAAACTTTGTTCGGATCAAGTCGAAGTTTATATAAAACATTAATTAGGGTTGTCTTTAACCTAAATTTTGACAACCCCATCACCCCCTCCCCCTGGTGTTTGTGAATCAGTGGATACTGGACGCTACTTAGATCATTTCTTACTGTACTGGTTTGTACTTGTTTGATTTAGACGGCACTGGTTAGAATTAATAAGCTGTACTTGTCTTTTTTAATTTTTTTTTTTTTGGTTTGGGTTGTATGTTTTAGTTCTGGCCTTACAATCAGAGATGGGCGTAAAATGGATTAGTCTTGAGTTTTCGGATAACGGATTATATTTATTCCAGCAATACTTAGTTTATGGGGATAATAGATTCCATTAATAATCCGAAATTAACGAAAAATTGGATTACGTTTATTCTAGTATAACGGATTTAATAATCAGGATCACTTGAATTATAAACCAGTAATCCGGGATCAGCAATCTTGCCCATCACTGTCCATGATGGATTGTATTTTTTCGTAATCCATTAATCCGACCCATTTGGAATAATATGGATTGTTTTTAATCCTGTAACTATTCAGGATGTCTTTGGACGATTAAAAAAAAAAAAACTAAGCCAATGATCCGGGGATGATAATCGCGCCCATCTCTGCGGTTACCAATCATCGTGCCCAATTTAATGTATTCCGACGTATGTTGACACATCATAAAAACAACCAGAAAATTTATGACTTTAATCTAAACAGAAAATAAAATCTGACGGATGCAAATCACTTTATATTAGCTGCGGATCTTCCGTCCTAACGGCCGCGGTGACGTCTGGCATGTCACACGTTGGTTATAAATAATTTAGGCGTGTCTTGTACGGACCGGCCCGTTATTTTTTGTATTTTCTTATATGTAAATAAATAACTCGACACCGTGATTTGGGTACACGGTAGCTCGACACGTTCGCACGAGACGAGATGATTGCATCTTGTTCGCACATATTATTAGCATTTCCGGTACACTTTCCGGTTAGGACGTTTGTGTTATACTTGTGTCACGCGGCGACGAGGGAATTAATTTTCAGCTATAGCGTGTGCCAAGTGAAATATTATTAAAATACTACATTCGCGGCGGCGAACAGTCGTATAAAGTTACTCGGGAGTTCATCGAAACGATTTTCATTACAATACCGTCGAGGCGGACAATAAAAGACGGATGTTAATAATAATAATTGCCTTTGTATTCCTTTCAAAGGTCGTCGTACGACATCTCGAGTTCGGTTACGCAAACGTGACCATATTATTATTGTTAGTGGCGGTGAACGATTAATTATTTACCTGACAAACAAAAAGACACCATTTTGGGTTGGCAATGATACAAGTATGACCCAGTCAAAATCATAGATGGTATAAGACTATACCTTACCCTGCACCTTTTGTGTTAAGACCTTAATATGGACTTGGCTTCTTAAACGGTAACGTACATTATATTTTATTCACTTTTTAAGCACAACCAGTTTTGAATAATTATTCTAAAAGTTATCAAATTTTAAAGTTTATGATAGCAGGAACAGTGAAGTGTGAAGTATTAGTATTTATCTGTACAAATTACTCAACCGCACGCCACTTGCCGTTTTAAATTTTAAACACTAACAACTGTAAAAGTAATCAATCAGATTGTTAAATCAATCATATTTGTTGAACGTTGACTTATCAACACAAACGTCAATAATATTAAGTTAATAATTACTGAATTCCAAAGTTAAAACGTTTTAAATTAACAAAAGTTTGACTAGTCGATAACCAGTTCGGAATAATTATTAAAAAAAGTTATCAAAGTTTAAAATTTTAGGACGGGAGGAAAGGTGAAAAGCAATTTTTCAAATGTGGGTTTTGACCAGTCGACGTTATCAGAAGCCTAAGATAATGTACGTCTTCAATTAAAAAATCTTAATCATCGGTCAATTAAAAAAGTGATAGGGTTTTCGCATATTAAAAATGGGGTCACGTTGTTGGAAAATAAGGCAAAATTGGGCCAACTAATAACTATTGAAGTATGGAAAATAATAATTTGAAAAATCCTAATAGCTTGCACCAAATTTGAAAATGTTTAAACCCACCACTTGGAATTTTTCACTTTTCAAGGATCGCAGACAACGCCAAAAGAGCGTCGGCTATTTATTTCTCGATCGGCCATTGTCGACAAGGCGGTTTATTGGACGGAATACGTGATCAGGCACAAGGGAGGGACATCACTTGAAAACGGCAGCATAGTACACTTGACTTGGTACCGACACTATTTGATCGACGTTATTGCTTTTATTGGCTTTGTGGCGATTTTCTCGGCCTATTCTGTTTGCATTGCCTTCGAGCGGATCCGGACGTCACCGCGTTATGGTTAACGAAGAGCGAAAAGAAACTAAAAAAAAAAAAAATCTTAAAGGTATACACGCTTGAGTAGTACAACCCATAAGCTATACAGGAGTCTACGGTATACCGGTCAGTCGGTATACGTTATTGTTGGGTTTGGATTTAGAACGCGTGTTGTATTTTGTACCCACTCCAGAACAGCACAATGAAATAACGTACATAAATAAAAAATCAAATCTTACTTATGTATTTAAAAATATACATTTAAACAGTGTAATAATATTATGTCGTTATAATAATTTATACATTTTATAAATACCTAATACAAAAAATATACCTATATATTATATATTTATTACAAAACCGACGAATTTTAATAAAATAATAATTATTTTTCATATTGTCTCATTAGCAAGCTACATACATTATGCATGCAAAGTGCTTTTGCTTAATATGATCGTCGTTAATGCGTACTCGTTTGACAATTTCACTCTTTTTCCACGGGTCCACCTCGGTTTTCCTTCTCAAGACATTAACCTCCATCGGTACCGTTATACTTCCGTTTAGCTCTTGACACGTCCACCAAATCGTCACATTAAAAAAACTCTTTTATTTTTACAAATACAGTCAATTTAACCAAAAAAAAAAAAGTTAACAAAATCGGTTACTTTCTAGTTTTGCTCACAAAAACTAACTTCTACATGAAACGTAACTATTTACAACTGTAGAGTTGGACCGTACAGCTGAGTAATTACAATATAATTTACAATATTATCATTGTTTGTAAAAAAAAAAAAAAAAACAGAGTTCGAAAAACGCCTCATGATAGACGTCGATTTGAAAGTTATGGTGACTAATATATATATACTTTACAGCTGATGTTCGTTTAGTCATGACCGTGGCCACGAACAGTGCAGTTTCGGGTAACTAGTTGTCTATTTACAAGGAATAACGCAAACTGTATGTAATATTAGTTTCACTATAGTCTTAAGCCTTCGAGTCTTTTAGTGTGAATTCGGTTTGGACTTCCGGTAGGTGCTCCTTGGTTTTTTTTATAAACATTTCTGAAAATAACGTTTTGAAATAGTATTAGCGGATTTGTATTTAGTATCACCAACGTCTCTCCCTCCGTTGGCGCAACTAGAAGGGGTGCTAGGTAAGATCAAATCCTTCTGAATTCGAATTACACCTCTCTTATTATTTCCCCTCCCCCTTTTGAGACGGACACCTGCATATTATACACAGGGTGATGCATCCGGTGTAGGACGATCGTTTTTTCGGAAAGTATAAATATTAGATGTACATCAGATGGATCACCCTGTATGTGCATAAAATGAGACAGATTTCGTTAATGCAAATTTTGCATTGACCCCCAGGCTAAAAACATAATATCCGTGTGTTTTTTTTTGTTATTTTAAGCACTTAAAATTCACCTCCGTAAAACATTTTCATAACGTTCTTTTGCAGCCTGTCAAAAGGCGATTCCACCGTGACGTTCATGATGAACGCGTACACCACTGCCACGAACAGGTCACCGCCAAATTTCATTGTCTGTTAACAACAAAAATAATAATAATAATGAAAACAATTAAAACCATTGTTATGTTGGGAATTCAAGTAGTCAATTGTTCGTACTATGGTCGTGAAGTCTTGGTAAATCGGGTACTTGATCGAACCGACCGTTTGGAGTTGAATGATTTCTTGGAAAACGTATATACAAAACACGAGTTTTCCGAACACTTGGAACATTCTGTGACCTAAAAAGCCGCTGAAAATAACGCCTGCAAATAACAACAATAATTCCTTTGTAGTAGGACGATTAAAATTCTCGGTTTACTCGGTATCGGTAAAATAAAGTTTAATTTAATTTCTCAGCTACACGGAAACAATGGATATGTTTTGCGCTCCTCGCTTATTTCGAAAAAAATGATTCAAATTATTCGAACAATTTTCAAATTGTCTGCAAGTGTTTTTTTTAAAGAAATTGTATTTTAAAACATTACTCTGTATATACATATTATTATAATGTTATATACTACATTTACAAAATACATAAAACTTTTTTTATTCGAATTTGCACAGCTCTAGCCCTCATCTTCCGCTTTGATCCCCTCCCTTCCCTTCACCGTGGTCTTTTCCTCTCTTCCTTCCCTCCTGTCGTGCTCTCATCCTTCCCTTCCTCTTCTACGCGGAAATACTCAGAATCACGCAAGTGTTTTTCTCTCTGCTCCTCTCCCAGACCTATCCCACCAACGTTTCCATGACCTCATTCCCTCTTTCTCGAGGCCTCGTGTTGACATCTTCTGCCTTGCTCCCCCTCACTTCCCCTCACTTCTATTTCACTTCTGCTCTTCCTCTCTAACCTAACCTAACCTAATCTAACCAACCATACCTTTGGGTGTCGCGATGACGCTAATAATTCTAGATAGGTCCCTAGTCTAAAACCATGGTGTCCATGTTAACGTTCTTACCTAAACCGGTCACTCCGTGGACCACTATGGTGTAGGACATGATCAGCGACCAAGCCAACCGACTGATTGTGAAGTACATGGAGTGCTTCAAAGAGGAATACGGGAGACCTATTCCGAACGTGTAAAATACCGATGTTCCCAAGTACACTAGATTTCCAACGACAACACAAATCGGTATCCAAATAATGCGGTTTTTCTATAAAAAAATTTAAAAAAAATTCAACCACAATGATAAAACGGTAAACAATTTTCATAGCGCTGATTTGCACTGTGCTTTACCAGCGACACTTTGTAATCCGATTCCTTAAGTCTTTTGTAAATGTACGCGGCTGCCATTCCAATGAAATACGGCGTGGCTCTCATGTGACTCTTGATGTACACGTCGGTATAATAAGATGTTTTGGCTAAATCCTTAAGGCTCCTTTAAAATACATTTACATAAGGGTCAGGAGATTACAACAAATAGTTTTATAAACAACATTCGAGTAAAATGTTATAATTAATCAATTTAGCCCGACTAAACGTTTCGATAATAATTTTATAGACTTTATAGTTATTCTTTTTCAAACAATTTTCATTCATGTTATTTTCACTAGAAATTTACCAAATATTTTTATATTATCTAAACAGTTGTTTCTGTTATGTGGGCTCAACACTGTCCAATAAGTCTCGTGTTAAAAATGTAGACTTTCGGAAGTGAGTTTTAATTTAAAAGTTTTAGAGGTAATATTTTTAACCCTTCCCCCCTCCTCCCTTTGAAATTTCGCCAATGCGAACACTCACGCTGCGTCTAGGGGTCCGACCGTTTGATAGTTGCCAACGTATATCATATACGCGGGGATGATTGTGGAAGCCGCTATACAGACTCCTAGAGCCCATCTGCCCAATTCCTGCCATCTCCACATGACGTATGTAAGGAGTGTTCCGACTATGAAGAAATGCATATCGCACGCCAAATACCACGCTGGAATTATGCACTGCAAACGATAGTCCGGTGAGTTGTGTACGGCGGGTAACAGTGATATTATCACAGATTGGATAAAACCAGAATCGACTTCTAGAACGTGGTCATACTGAGTCGAGGAGGGTTTTGAGTTATCAGTAAATTGGCAAAGTGCACCATCTGGTTTCGTCTAATCTGTGATGTTATTACTTTCATAGACTATATAACCATACTAGAGGATATACGTATGAAGATTCAAAGAGGAAAGGGTCAAAAGTCAGTGTAGGTTCTGCTTTGAGCCTTTACCTGTTTCATGTTGTAATGGATGAAGTTACGAAGGAAATACAGAGTGATGTACCGTTGGTAGGAGAATAGCATTTGAAGGACATGGACTAAGGATTGGTAAAACAGAATATATTATAGATTATGAGTTTGAAGAAGATAATGAAAAAGAACAAGTAGAGAAGACTATATAACCATACCAATTCGTCGGTGTGCACGTAGTTGTTAATAAAAAGCACGTTGGTCCACCAGTTCTTTTGGCATCTTTCTGACTCCCTGTACACGATGTTCTGCCAATATGGGCCGCTGTTCATGTAGGGCAGTACAAATATGTATGTGACGATGAGAGCCGCGTACACGGGGAATATCCTAAAAGCATAATGATTATTAATCAAACGAAATTTACAATAATACTTTCAAAGTCACAGGCTGAATCGAGTTCTAAACCGCCTCGCCCCTAACCTAACCGATTTGTCTGAACAAGTTGATCATTTTTTTTTTTACGACAACCGTCTACGAACCTTAACCATCTGTAGATCATGATCGGTATGAAGTTCAGCTGTTTCTTTTGTTCGAGTTGTTTTGTGATCATGATGTAAGTGAGGAAGCCGCTGATAACGAAAAACGTTTCCAGGAAAACGATGCATTTGAAGTAGTTACACATGAAATTGTGTAGCGTCTAGAATGAAAAAAAAAAACACACACACAAAAGTGACTAACGAGTATCGCAATTGGGTATAACGTCGTGCCGTTGTTGGACTGAGCACCTTTACCTACCCAATACACCCAATCGCTGTCCATTTGAGGATATCCGTATTCTAATATATTTCTATGGCCGAGGATCACTTGTAGAATACAACAGACTTTCAAACCGTTGATCACGGAAAATTCGTCGGACTCGGAGGGTTTCAATAGGCGTTCGATGTTTGATATTAACGAGAAAGGCTTCATAATTTTCTCTGAAAAACAAAAAAAAAACAATATACAATTATTTGAAAATAATTATAAAAAATAAAATCGTCATCGCTTGTACGGGTATGGTACTCGAGTATATATTTCAAAAAACAAAACAGAAATCTATTACTCTCATACCGATACATCAGCTGTTAGGTACGTACTTAACGGTCCGTGTTCGGACTTGGGTCTGTAATACAAAAACACAAAATCGTAGGCTGTTCCAGCACCAACTAGACCGATCAATAACAAAAACCCGGTGCTAAAATAATAAAAAAATAAAACACATTGTTGACTCGTACGGAATATTATGTTTTATCGTAGCAGACAACTCTTATAATTACATCACTAAGTAAAATCCTGCCGTGTATTTATAAGTGGTGTATTTGGAAGTGTGCAGTGTCGGGTCCACGCTGATATTTCCTTCTAGACCGTTGCGTTTAAGTTCTGGCAACAGAGCATTGCTTACTATATTGTGAACGTCTTCCACCTTGCACGTGTCTGGTAAGCAAACCGCCCACTGGTAACGGTGTCTCTGAACATACTCTACTTGTATGTTGTCCTAAAACAGGAAGTCCAACGTGGATCAAAATACGGACAAGCCAAAACTAAACCTAACCTAACCTAAACCAAAACTAACAAGATGTATTACAATCGGTGTTGGAAATTATCTATATAAGTTATCTAGATAAAACATATACTCATCATATACCGGTTAGGTTAGGTTATCTTTATCTGTATCTAGATACATTTTTATGAAATTATCTTTATCTAGAGCGCACGATTAGACATAACTAATGTAACGGTGGTTGATGTACCGTTAAACTGATGAATTGCAATTAACAACTAATTAATTGCTACACTACAATTGAGCGTAATGAGTATTTTTTAAAATTAAAATCTACATAAAAAATCAATGATACGGTTAAAACATTATTATTAAAAGATACGCCTACTTGGTGAAGTTACCGATAATAAAAACTAGTTGGACTGCGACGGTCAGTATGTAAACCGGTGTAATTTATTTCTATAATCAAGGTAACCTAACAAATGACGACAAAGATAATAAAACACTTGTGTAAGAATTGTATGTTTTTTGTTAATTTTGTATTATTTATACAACAGTAAATCATCGACAATTTAATTGAAAAATCAACTCTAGATATTTTTTTTTTCATATAAAGTAAGAACTATTGGTAGTTAATTAAATGAAAAATTAAAAGAGAAAAATAAAAATGTAAGTTTAAAAATAAATTTTTAATTTTAATTTTAATAAAAATGAATATAATTATGAGGAAAAATATGATAATATTACGTTTAAAAAAGTAGACAAGTTATTATGGTATAGGAATAATTTTATCAATTTAGTAAAATGCTAATCGGCTGTGCCTTGAAAACAAATAAGTAAATACTAATAATATATTAAACGTTAACATTAGATATAATCATGTAAATGAATAAAAAAAAATGATGTTGTAAAAATTGTAACGAAAAACCAAAATCAAATGTTAGTAAAAAATACAATGTAATTCTAAGACAATCAGAGAGTACATCAACAAAACCCATTAAATTGGTTATACTATATTATTGTCTTGTTATTATTGAATTGCTTTTATTATAAAAAAAGGAAAGAAAGAAATTCAAATTGCACGGAAGCTTACCGTTTGATAATTAAAATGATTGCATTATACGAGTACTTAAAAATTAAAAAAAATGTGAAAATATTATATCTGTATGTACTAGATTAGACTGACAAGTATATCTGTAGTTACTGATGCTGAAATCTAAAGCAGTGGTGATAAAATTTGGTTGGTCGGTGTGTAAATTGGTATAATATTAATCGCTACGTACACAAGGTAACCTAACCGGTTGTTTAATACTGCATACAATACAAATATTGGAGTTTATAAATTACTTTTATGGCTTCCCATACTGATTCTTCGTCGTCGTCCGGCAAATAATCTCTGGAATGATCGTTATTGTAGAAATCGGGGTACACATCATAGGTCGGTCGGAAATCTATATCGATTAAACTATAACCACCGGCCACTCCGGTCCGTTTGGACGATGTGCCCACACACTGTTCGAAATTTCCAAAGCTCGCGGTGTTACCGGTCAACAAACCTTCGGGTCCTTTGGCCGAAGCATCCAACACTGTAAATGAAATTAAAAAAAAAAAAAAATCATCACAAGCGAATCAAATATAAGCGTTTTTGGCAGAGGATTTTTTTAATAATTTTTTAGCATTAAAAACAATAAAAGTAATTGTAATTAGTAAACTTTTTAGCCGTCATTTGGCAACTATGTCGTGGTCAGAGTTCTGCATCTAGAAAATACCATTATTCCAGTAAAAGTTATTCGAAACATTTTTTATTTGAAAATAAAAAAAAAATTACTTGAATAATTTATAAATATATTATTTAAATAGTTTGTATGTGCTTTTTTTTTTTTAAATGTAATTGTACTTTAAACCATTATTTCAATAATTGAAATTACAAAACATAATATAAAACCAGTATGTATAAGAAAAAACAATTTTTTTATTTGAATAAGATTTTGAACAAATCTGGTCGTGCTAGTCGTCTCACTCGAAGGCCTTGTTCAGTTGATTTTCGTTTTACATATGTAAAATTTGTTTACGTATTAAAATATACAGGGTGATCATTTTATCGTGAATCACTTGAATATCTCATTTGGTTTAATTAATTATTTTATTTTATTTTTCATATAATGTGATCTTAATTTTCCAAAAAATGTTCCTACCCCATTCCAAACTAATTATTCTTATACAAACTTTTGAATTTTAAATTGTAAAGTATATATTTTATTAACTTTTTAAATTGAGAATAATGTACTAAAAATGTTGACTGGTCAAAAACCATTTTTGGATAACTATTTTTGTTCCTATTACATTCGTATGTTATTGAAGTTTTAAGTTTAGGATAGGAGTAAAGGTGGAGTTTAGTATTATTTCTATAATATATACATATGTTGCACTTTCAAACCGCACTTTTCTTCCCGTCCTAACTTTTAAACTTTTATAACTTTAAGAATAGGCGTTCAAAACTAGTTAAAGACCAATCAACGTTTTTAGTAAAATATTCTTAATTCAAAAGTTAATAAAATGTATACGTTACCATTTAAGTTTTAAAACTTGATATAAAAATCGTTAGTTTGGGAGAAGGGTAAAAACCAAAAAAAAAACAAAATAGTAAAAAATTGAGATCACTTTGTATAAAACCACTATGAAAATAAAAAATGTAATTTCTTATTAAACCCTATGAGATATTGAGTTGTTCTCGATAAACTGATCACCCTGTAAGTATATGTTTTATTATTTAGCTGTTACAAGAAACCAATACACCTAATCAGACGTTATTGCATATCTCTACTACTGTTACAGATTTTCCATTAAAAAGTAATCATTTTCTCAGTAGGTATGTTTGTGTATCGTTCGACATGTTTACCAGCTTATTGAAAACCACACGGTTAATATTAATGGAAAAACCACGACCCAGCTAAAATATCAAATTCATGCTGGCTTTTCAAAATGTCATACAATACTTAGGAGGGGGTTAAACAGCGAAAACACCAATTGTAATTGCAACAGAATTCGGTACAAAGTGTTATTAACGATTTCGAGAAAAAACAGCTTCTTTTAACAGATAATAATACCTTACTAGTATTATTATTAACTACGGGTTTTTATAGGTAAATAGCTACCAAGTTCGAGCTGTCACACTCGTTCCACTGGAACAGGTTAGGCGGGTTAAGATATTAACCCAACAAGGTCACCACCTTGTCAACGAACTTGACACCAACCCACGTACGCCGAGCAGTTAAGAACAAAAAACTAAGGAAACGTGATTATACGGATAGTGCAAAGAAGAAGTCCTCGTCAGGACATTTGATATTTAATCATCGTCGCATTCCATCCTATTCGAGATGTTTTCAATATTGTATATGTATGTTAATACCATATAACATAAAAAATTACTTTATATAGCAATGCAAACCATTTGGGCGTTAATGGGATTGTCATTTTTAAGGAGTTTTGTACCTATATGGATAATAGTTAAGAAAAAAATGGTTTTATTTTGTGTCTATTTGGTTTTAAGTTAATTTCTATAAGTACCGAGGTTTTTTTTATCATTAAGGATAAGACACTCGTTTTATGTTAGAATAATTATTGCAATTTTGTTGTTATTTTTTTTTTTTTGAAGATAGTTTAGTTTATGTTATTGTACAATATTAGGAAATAATCAAATTGTTATATTTTTTATTATTTTTTCCAAAGGGCTATCAACTTTTGAAACCGGTTTTGGATAATCATTTTTAAAATTACCAAACTGAACGAAACAAGTGCGCTGTAAACTAACCGGAATCTTTGCAATAGTAAAAAGGGGTGTACAAATGCACAATGGGAGGTGGAGTGCGGTAGAGTAATGTGTGCAGAGAAAAAAAAACTCTACGTGTACTCCACCTACCGCCTTAAATTTTAACCTCTAATAACTTTAAAAGTAATTATCCACAACTGGTTATGGATCGATCAAAATTCCCGGCAAATTATTCTTAATACAATGACTATCTTAAATTAAAAAAATAAATTACCTATACTTGGCTTCTTAATAAATATGGGGTATGGCATCATCCTCTTGAATATTTTTATGTTTTTTTTAGCTTCTATGCGTAGCTTAGGAGCTGTTATTGTTTTTACAATGATGTGTTTTAATTTTTTGGTTTGAACCCAAGATATTTTTTAAATAGCTGAACCGATTTCTTCGTGTAGCAACTCTATAGATCAGAAATCTTACCTGAAAGGCATTTTATTGGGCCATAAACTAGTTAAGTTTACCCCCCCCCCTTCAAAATTGAGTAAAACATCAAACTAATTGAAATATTACAAGCGTGTTGACAAACCAAAAGGGATAGAAACTTTTTTTTATTTCGCTTTATTTTATGGTCAAGTGCTGAAAATCAGACCAAAGGTAGATCTAGTATAATGTTAATTTTCTTAAAAATCTCTAGTCAAACTTATTTCCATCAAGGATAAACCGATTACACTTTAACCGTAGTCAGTTTCTGAGTTGCTATATTGAGCGAGTGAATCAACGGGTATTTGAAAAATATTTTTTCATCAAATATTGTCATTTACGACAGACGGATAGTTACGGTAATAAATAATAATTATCAACCCCAAACGTGTCCACCCCATTACAGCAGAAATACAATTTTAAGCAAGTTGTCCGTCATCGCAACGCTTTTATCGATAGACCCGTGACATCCCCGACCCCGCTGCGAGGGGAGGGGGTTTGGGTTTTCCCCGAAGCCACAGACATAACAATATCGTGTGCAGCACTCACTTTTGATCGCCCAAAGCGTGGAAGTCTTGACGTACTGCCGATAGGTGTTCAAATCTCTGGCGCAAGCCGGGCTGGTGTCTTGGCCGGGCCAACCGCCGTACAAGACGTTGGAGAGCACTTGGCCGAACCACACGGGGCTGTCGTCGGACGGTAGGGCCTGAGGTTGAGCGGATTTGCCCGACCTGACGGCCGCGCCTTTCGGTATCCTCTGCACCCACCGTGTCCCGGGCCCGGCTTCCGGCGGTCCGGTCGGTTCCGCATCCGCGTCGGCGCCGGCCGTTTCCGGGTTGTACACCATGTCGGACAGCTCCACGGCGTAGGGCTGTTCGCTGTCCTGGCCGGGCTGAACCGTGGTCGGCGAATCGTTGTCGGGCGAGTCTCGGACGAACGTGTACGACAGTTCCCCCTGCGCGCCGGCATCTCCCGTGCGGCACAACAGTAGTATAATATGAAGCGCCAACGCCGGGACTATGCCGGACGCGGTCAGAGGCGATACGCGAAAATGCATGGCTGCAGCTGGGCAATATCGTTATCACGTCGCTCGTCGACTACTCGCGGTACTGAGGCCCGCCGACCACCGCCGGCGTGTATATACGCGCGCACCGTGCACCACGTGCCCAACCGGATCGGCGTCCTTTGTTTGCCGCCGCCGCCGCCGCCGCCTCCTCCTCCACGCGAGCCACGACTAGTTTTTTGCGCGAGCGTTTCCCGTAAACAGTAGGTATGATTACATATATATCTTCTTATCTATTTCCTATTGGGGCAAAGACAACGCGGAATAATGATATTAAGGCCAAATTGTCAAAGGCTGCTGTCGGATTTCGACGAGAATTCCAGACTAGACGGTTTCAAAGCCACATTGATTAAAAAAAAAAATATATATAAAACAATGATAAACTCCGTTTTATTTATTTTTACACGATCAACGCCAAACGGTTTTTATACGAATTATAATTACTGTAGAAATTGAACATGAATTAGAAATGAAAACAAAAATTTACATACAGGTAAGTTGTGAACTTAACAGAAATATAATAAAATATGATCAGCGCAAACGTTAGTCTAATTACTATGATAATAATTATTATTGCAATCACGAATCGTTCTGGCCAAGTGCGCATTTCTCATTAAATTAGTTCTACCTAATGGTAATTAACAATATTTAAGTGACCCGGTTCAGTCGATATCCGGATACCGAGTTGATCTTAAACACGTGGAACGTCTATACGGCCAGTTATAAAAGTCCCCAAGTAAATCGTGTACCAAATTTCTTGCGCCTTTCTTCCTAATTGTCCAGTCCTAGTATGGCTGTATAACAGCTTCATAATCATATGGGCTTAATTAGGTTAGATTAGGTTGTGTTAGGCATATGCAAGCATTTCAAATAAAGATTTTCGTAGCAAATCAAACGGTCATAAAATACAATTAGTAATATATATTAAATAACACGGATAGATGAGCTTTTTGGTAACTCTAAGAATATATTGTAAGTCATAGTGGTACTTTGTTCTTTATAAATTGAATGTCGAGTGTTTTTATTCATTCAATTGCTTCATCAATGACGTCATGGAGTTCTCGCATTGACCCTTTGAATGGGACAGACCCTTAGTATGTGGAGAATGGTCTGGGAAGGATAATCATTACTATTAATTGTACTTTTAACAATTGATTTATTATTTATTATTATTATTATTACATCATGCGGAGTGATTCTTTAAACGAACTACAACAGTTTTCTCTTAAAGATATTGCAGTTTTGGTGTTATTCTTTTTGAAAAATTATCAGTATTAAAATTTTTGACTTATTTAGTATTTTATAGAGCTTTATCAACTTTCGAACTTTAATGGCGACATACATATTTAATTTAATTTTAAATTAAGAATAATTTGCTGATAAATAGTTTTTAAGTTATTAAAATTTGAAATATAAGACAGCATGTAGGGTGTGGTTGAGCACAGATAAAAATAACTTACACTCCACCCTTCCTCCCGTCATAAATTTAAACTTAATTAATGTTTGAAGTTGTTTTGATGTTTTAATAATGTTCATAGAAAATAAAGTGCCACAGCTAAATTGACAGTTTTTGGCAGTTGGTTTTTGATTATATTATTATAACTATATGTCTAATTAACATTTCACTCGATATGTCATCGTAAGGCTTTTTACTTATTTCTAACCGTATTAGAATTATTCAGCGTAAATCTAAAAAAAAAGTGTATTAAAAAATAAATTACATACAACTATTGATTTTTGTAAAAAGTAAGTCCATGATACTTAAATAGTAAATATCGGGACTGCGTTTTTTGAAAAAAAAGTATGTCTTATAGAATTTTTTAAACTATCTACTAGCTATTAACTTTAAAAGAGATCTTGCATTTTCACACATTTTTGAAAATAACAAAAGTTTTTTTCGTTTTATCAAAAGTGGCTCTGTACAAATCTAGAGTGGCGTTCTAACGTTTATGATTTTTTTAAAAATGTGTAGACAAAGTTTTAAGATTGGAAGTTAGACTGAACGTAGATATTAAGTGGCGTTATATAAAATCCGTTGTAAAACTTTTTTTTTATTAAATTATATATTCTTAAAAAATAACACATTTTGAAGCAAAACGGACAAGGTCATAACGGTCGAGGGTAACTTTTTGGCGAAAAACGGAAACACCCGACTAGGCCTTTTGGACCCACCAAAACCCTTTACACGCTCATGTAGTCTTGTTATTTGGGCCCCATGACGGTTGAGTTGCTGAACAAATTTGTGAAACCTAGAGGAGTCTTAGTCATTTCTAACCCAAAGTATTTTTCTTAGAGATAGAATAGTTTCTTTAATCATTTTCTCTTTTAAAACCCTTCTATTAGCATATTTGTCTATTTCTCACGTGTCCCGCATAAAAATATCAATTTATTATGGATTTTCGCAATGACCTTAGATTTGAAAGGGTTAAAGGATTTAAACTTTCCCTACCCCCACTTCCCATAGATCCTAGACGAGACTTTATTTTGTAATACCATGTATAAACATTTTATAGCGAAACAGGTACGATTCGAAAATACTTCAATAATTGTACATAACATTTTAATGATTGAGCTTTGTCTCAGACCTTGTTTTTTAGTCGTTAATATTCACTGTTTATACTCATACCAGCGCATTGTCTTTACGGAAATATTTCAACCATAATATCGATCTAAAAAAATAATAATAATATATTCTGCTAATATATTTCACATTATACACACATACAGTATAAAATGATCGTTTAAATGTCAATTTAAATTGAAAATAAATAAAATAAGCCTTGCCCTGAATTTCCTTTGAACACGCTATAAATGTAAACAAAATAAAAAACAGTTTCAAGATATAATGCTATATTGTAAACAACATACATGTATAATCGTTTTTTTAGTTAACGTCAACCTTCCCGGGACAGTTTTGGTATTTTTTATTTTTTTTTTGCTACAAAGTAGTATCCAGAGCAAACACAAAATATTTTGACACGGTCCAGAAAAGTAGGTACTTAACCACACGTGGAGACTTTATTTAAAAAGCAAAATAAGGAAAACACTGTATTTGTTTAGTATTTCCAGTGACATTTAAAGTATATGAACATTAAACAAGTTCCATTTTCGTTTTAGCAAGGTCACAATATTCACCTTGTTGTTTTTTTTTTGTAATCAATAAACTCGAAACATTTTATACGAGACCAAAGTTTTGAGATAGGATTTATGAAATATAATATAGTGTCAAACAACCCTCTTGAACATTGTAGAATTCAAACTAAAATTATAGCTGTGTTCACATGATGAATGAAATACAAATTTGAATACTAAAATAAAAATTATGTACCGTTTTAACGGTAATTCTTTGATTCAGTCAATGACTAACTCTTAAAATACTATACCATTATTAGATCTCTTTTTTGTTTAGTTAAAATTGTTTGGACTACAAAAAATAAAATATGCAAATTTAAGGTAAGCCACCGGAAGTTCCGTAGTGTTTCCCAAATTGTACTCATCTTTCTCATATTTTCATAACACCAAATTTATTATTTTTAAAATAAGTATATGATTAATTTTTTATAGTAGATGCTATACAAGGCGATCCATTCATCTAACGTGTGGCGCACTTAATATCTCATAAAATAATCTCAATTTTGGACATTTTCACCGAGTTCATTTAATTTATTTTATAATAACTAAAAATTACTAATTATTTGACTTTTTTAGCATTTTCCAGAGCTTCATCAATTTTTAACTAAATACGACAAAGTAGTATTAATGAGATTTTTAAATTATGAGAATAATTTTTACTGGTCGAAAACCATTTTTAAATACTATACCCCACCCTTTATCCAACATCCTTTTATTGCACCATACATTTTAAGGATTCACCTTATTTAAATATAATCAAATTATTTTTAATTTACATGGAAATTTTTTTAGATGTGGTACTATCAATAAACGTTGAGAAACCAAAAAAAAATTATCATAAACCCTTTCCTTTAGGGGAAGGGTGGAAAGTTTTTCTTTATTTCTCTTTCTCCGGTATAGTTTCAGAACTTAAGATCTTATGATCAGATTGAAGATCGATCTAAAGTGAAAATAAACTTAATAGAACTTTTACATTTTATTAAGGAAAACTCCCCAAAAAAGGGGTAAAGTGATTTTACCCTTTTCAATTATAATAATTCCTGAAATTCTGTGACTTTTCTCATCCTAAAATGCTGTACCCCCACTCTGACGACTTTTATTTTTATAGTTTATTTATTATAAGTGAAAACGTTATTCTAGCCTAAAATGAATTTTTTTTTCATTTATATTTTTAATTTTGGAAATTCATTTTTACCACATTTCCCTACTATATTGTTTGTATATATAAATAAAAAAAACAAATGTATAGAGCTCAAAATAAAATCGCTGATATCGTTGTTGCATGTCGGATCAAACAAGTTTTTCTGGATCGTGAATTTTTTATTAGTCATGACGTGTGTCGGCCAAATCCATTACATATTTTGTATTTTTTAAGGTATTTATATTTGAGTTTAGTTCAACGCACGGCGCCCGTGGGCACTATATAAGCTGAACATGAAAACATCACACGAGTACCATGTTGTAATGTTGTAAAGGTATATTTTTTTGATTTTATGTCAATGATGAATGCAAATTAATGCATTTTTTTTTCGTCTACTACAATATTATTAACCGCAGAATGAACAGTCGATGAACTCAATATGGTTATGTTACTGTATACTACCATTTTACAGGTTCACAATAAGTATCCAAATAAATAAACAAGTACCTACATCGTTTTCATTGTTAAAGAAAAACCATCAACACTACTGCAGGAGTTTGTCCGCACAACGTTATGATATCAAAAACACCATGAACGTGACCAGTAATTTATTTACAAGTGGAATCTCGACTTGGCATGTTTTGCATTATATTATTATACTCTCAAAGGTATAAAATGGCGCGTTTTTTTTGAAATTTAATAACCCACAGTCCAAATAACGGTATTGTCTAGCAATGACGGCGATAAAATTAAAAAAAAAAAAATGGATCTTTAAGGTTTTTTC